AACGAGCAAACTAGTCAGAATAAAAGCTTTCTTTTAGTTTATGTAATAGCCACAGACAGGTACATGCCTAAATCAAACCCGAGTGTACTTTTTATTAATGTTTGCTGTCTTGTAAACATATCGAAGTTTGACTGAAAAGATAATATCAGAGCTGTTTTTTGTTGTTGTTGTTGTTTACCATTTACATGCAATTGTTGTATACCTCCAATCTTAAAGGGGACATATCATGCAAAATCCACTTTTTTAGCCCTTAAATGCATTTTGTTGTATATTTGGAGTGTTTATAAGTACAGAAAATATGAAATTATTCTCTTCAGGTGCTTCGTTAATATCTTTATTTCTTTATATTCTGTTTTGGCCATATTTTTCAACCTGTTCAGATTTTTCTGTTTTCTATGACGTTTTTTGAACTATAACGTCACCGTATTTGCAGCGGAACTGCCAAATAAGGACTTTGACTACAAACTTCGAGCAATCCGCCATTATTATTTCTTGCTCCGATTTTGTAGTCCGAGCTCAATGATGCAGAAGTTACGAGAGGGCAAGTAAACATGTTCGGTTTTTGGATCTAGTGACCTGAAGCACTTCAAGGTGTCTGACCCGGACATTTACTTGTACCTCATCGAGTCTCCAGCCCAGGTAAGCCAGTGAATGATTTTATTTCGTTTTTTAAAGTAAAAAACCTTAATGTCTATATTATGAATTTATGATGATGATTGCCATGATGGCAGGTAGCCTGGGCTAGTTGATAACGGGCATAAAAAATGTATCTTTCACTCTCATAAACACTTTCTGTTGTGTTCTATCAATACGAAGCCAGGCCATAGCAGGTGAACGGGTTATAACTTTCTTTATTATTCACTCACAGAACTCGTGCTTAACACTCTCTATCCCTCTTCTCTTTTTCTTCTTCTCCCCTCTTAATACCTCCTTCCCCCTAGTGGTTTCAGCAAGTATTGCACTGAATAACAGGACACCACACTTTCACTGCCAGCATTTTCTTTTCTTTCTTTTTTTTTTTTAAGTTGCAAACCACCGCCAGCATTTTTGATTGAATTTTCACAAAAATCTCATGGCCCCTAGAATATTTCGTTAAATATTTCATATAAACATGTTTTCAACTGTTTTCTTTATTTCACATCTTAAAGATGTTTTTGATTAAATGCTGTTCTTTTTGAACTATTTGATTCAGTTTTATATGTTCTGTCGGTTGTATTTTATCCCAGCTTTTATGTAGTGTTAAAAAACTGAAACAAGTGCTTCTGGACAAGTGTTGTTTACATCTTGCAAAATGGTCTATATATATATATATATATATATATAAATGTTTCATTCTACATTCTAGCTTCATGCATTCTTTTTTTATCAACACTTGAATATGGGCAAGTTTCCATATATTTAAAAAAAAAAAAAAACAATCAAACAAAAAATACATTAGAAGAATTTGCCCTTTACTGTGCAAGCCAGACAAATATCCATAAAACACAAGCATTGTCAAATATTTCTACAAATAAGTTTCTAAACGGAAGACTTTCGGTCAGGGTGCCGTTTGGCTAGTTTGATTGAGATTTTTTGTTTAGCTGGATTTTCAGCCATTTTTCTTGCATCATTTTCTTCCATCCTCCAGAGTTCCTGCTTTTTTCTCTCCACCTCCTGCTCAGTTTTGCTGTGCATCATCAGCTCTCTCTCTTTCTGAGCAATCTGGTCTTTTCTCATCTCTAAAACTTTCTCCATTTTCTTCTTGATCTTTCTCTCAGAGGCGGGGTAGAAAGACGTTGTGTAACAGCTCTTTCCATTGATGGCCACAAGGGTCTCGACCTTTTTTAGGAGTTCTGTCACGGGCTCATAGTTTGTCGTCTCCTTGTTATTGAAAAACACAAACCCACCGCTGCACTTATGGATGAAACTGCGTAAGTCCTTGTCCGAGTATGCGATAACGTCATTCGCCGACTTCCCCTCCAGACGATCTCCGTGAGTGAACACAATGATGGTGTACTTCCAGATGCTCTCCCCAAACATGCTCTCGATCAGCTTATGCATGCTTTTGTCATCATTACTTAAGTTCCCAATAGGCATAACCAGCAGAAACACGTGTGGTCCTGGAGCATAGAGAGAGGTGGACTTCAGGATCTCTCGGGTCACTCCCTTCTCTGTGTGGCCTATCCTGCTCAGTCCCGGCGTGTCGATTATGGCCACGGGCCGGCCGTTGATGTTTCCAGATGCTCTTTCACAGAACTGGGTGACTCTGCTCAGTTGCATGTCTGATTTAAAAGCACTGTACCCGAGGATGGTGTTTCCAGTTGAGCTTTTTCCAGACCCCCTCGCCCCCAGTAACATGATGCGCAATTCCTCTGCCAAAATCATGAAATACCAAGGTTTCAATCATACAATATAAGAGTTTAATATAATTGCTTAAGATCACTCAAAGATCACTTCTCCAAGTCATCATGAAATCAAAATTTCTAACTTTTTATGAGGAAAAACAGTATTTATTAATATATTATTTTTTTTTAAATTCATGTGCTATCGTAATATTTAATCAAAATAACTTCAGTAGTGCACCAGGTTGACACTACTACATTATGTTTTGGAACTGATTATAAACAAAAGTTTAAAATGTGAAAATATGGGTGTCATATACTGTAATCTCTTACCTTGTAAGTCCATTGATGCAGTTAAACTGGTTTCCTCTATGTCCTGCACGTTTTCATACAGTTTTTCTGATGTTGCATCTGTGAATAAAATTCTGTTATTGTTTAAGTATTATTCACACACAAATCTCTTTGTGTTGACAGACCATTTTATATGTAATCTTCACATTTTTAAAAAAAAATGACATTGAGCTCCCTGATCTTAAAGTTGATAGTCATTGACTGTTGGAATTTTTTATGGAATTGTTAATAATTTGGCTTTTTGGGATGTCATAAGATGTTGTAAACGACTCACAGCCCGTTGATGAGTCCAATGCTGAATCATTCTCATCTTCCTCAAAGTCAATCCCATCTTCCTCAGACTCGTCTAAATCTTCATCTGCTTTCTTACTGTCCATCTTATCCTGAAGAGTAATTTTCTGAGAATTTCAATGATCATGCTGCAGAATACCATTATCTTATTCAGTTTTTTGTCCTGTTTTTCAGTAAAAATATTCAATTTAAAGATAACATATTTTAAGATATTAAGAGTGTATTTTTCTTATCTTGTTAGCATGTCTTTTACTTGTTTTAAGCATAAACCTCTCTAACTTTCCTTTTATGCTTAAAACAAGAAAAAAAAGTCTCTGGTCTATTTTTTTTATGAAAGGTTTAGTTTAACTCTGTTTATTCTGGATCATCATATAGTATAACATCAAGAAACGAGACAGTCAGTGACTTACCACAGTTGGTAAAGTTGATAGTGTTAAACCTCTTTATGCAATAAATGCACCTATCAGCACCTCCACACTTGCATGAGACTAGGAAAATTGCAGGTTTCATTTGCTGAGCTTGGTTGTGAAAGATATGTCAAATATTCCACACAGGTATCGACTTTAGTTAGAAGGCTGGTCTTGTTAAAGGATGCAATCACTTCTCTCAACAAGTGTTTCTTCCATTGAGGCATGAGGACTCGTTTAACATGTTAGTCAGGAATTTTGAGAGTGTTTGGCAAGTAGGCTACTTTTTTTTTGTTTCAATAAAAAAAAAATGCTCCTCCATCGTTGAGAGTGGAAGCTATATTTCAATTTTAGTAACAGTATATTAAATTGACAACATGTGAGCACCCAAGTCACAAAGATATTTCACTGTAGTCTGACTCTGAACAATGTGGTTGGTCGGCTGAGTCATCAAAATATCTATTTCTATTCTTGTGTTTTTAAAAGAAGTCTCTTGTACTCACCAAGCCAGCATTTATTTGATTAAAAAAAAGAGAGAAAAAACAGAAAAAAACGGTAGTCTAATATTGTGAAATATTATTACAATTTTAAATAAGGGTTTTCTAAATATATAATGTAGCCTATTTCTGTGATAAATCAATCACTCAATCACATTTTATTTGTAAAGCGCCTTACAACAGCACAAAATGTGCACCGGAAAGGCGCTTTCCAGTAAAAACATAAATGGACAACAATAAATAAAAACATAATAAGTGTACATAATAAGCAATTGAATCGAGGCAGAATTTACATGTCTAAATAATAAGTGTGTTTTCAACTGCGTTTAAAAGTACTCAACGAAGTAATACTTCGTAGTTGAGGTTGAAGTTGAACAAATCTGAATTTTAATCAGTCTACTCCAGTCTTTCGTGTCACATGATCCTTCAGAAATATATTGTCATACAGAAGGTCAATATTTAGTATTTTAGTAGTATTTTGCATGACTGTTTTAGAAATATTTGAAAAAGAAACCCATTTTATTATATCTGAGAAGGTTATTTCTATTTGTTATATTTCCCCTAGAATGTGTCTTTTCAGCATAATAATAAAAAACGCTTCCAGTGGGCTATATGCACGCATAAGTTCCGCATTTGACGTAAGGATGCTCGTCCATTTCCGGTTGTGTAGATTAAAGCGGAGGAAAACCGGAGAAAACGGGATTATGGCAGAGTCTTCAATATTTACTGTCCTCCCGTCTTTGAAACGAAACGTACATACGTTTAGATGTAATTTTATATATAGTTATGTTTATTTAATATAATTTTAAAAAGAAGCATAAACACAACGAGGGGTGTCTGTTTTATCTGTTTTTGTGACTAACGTTTCATTAGTATAACCATGGAGTATAAAATTCAATATAAGTTCTCGGTATTGCATTGGACTCTATGATCGGCGGAAGTTATCGAGCATCCCTAATGCTTCACCGGAAATAACGCCGTGCATAGAGCCCGTTCCCCTTTATTCAGGTTCAGATTCAAACATGTAGGAATGGTTTACGTTACTGATTGGCTACACAACGCGAGGTCAAGACAACTTTTGTCCAATCATCGTTGAGGAACTCAAACGGACCCGGAAGTTGATCAGTTTGATGTTGACGTTGACAGGGAAATCTCTTTTGGAGCCGTGTATCATTCCCAATTCTGAACTCAGAAGCCATATAATTGGTTTGTAATCTAAATAAATTAGGAAAGAAGTCACTTTGCAGTTGCATTTTCCAGTTTGCGAGGATGGGATCAAAAGATCTGAAACTCCTGGATGTTTTTTCATACGAGAGTCTCGTGCATGCAGTCGCCGGTGCGATGGTAAAACTCAGCTTTTTCATGATCACGTCACATCTGTAGGGTTTTTATGATCTCGTTTACGGCTTTTTGAATGATGACACGTGTAGTTATCACACATGTTGGTCCGCTTTTCTGACGTCCACCTGCTGCACGACAACATTAAAAACAATTCAAGGAAAAATCAATAAACCAATAAGTGTTTATAAAATGTGGATTTAAATTGCTTTGAGCCTTTAAAGTCAGCATATTAAATGTGATACAAACAAATCAAATATAGTAAATTTGCACTATATATATATATATATATATATATATATATATATTTGCACTTATATACTATATATTATATACTTATACACACACACACACACACACACACACACACATATATATATATATATATATATATATATATATATATATGTTTTTAATATGAGTCATTTGTTTGCAGGGCAGTGTTACAGCAATGACTGTTTTCTTTCCTCTTGACACAGCTCGGCTTCGGCTGCAAGGTAAACAGTGAAACACGTTTTTGATTCCCTTTTTGCTCTTTTATGTTCTAGTTTCTGTGTTTTAAAATATTTGATCCCATTTCTTTCTGTTTCTGTGCAGTTGATGAAAAGCGGAAAGCCAAATCTACTCCAGCCATTCTGTCAGAGATCATCAAGGAAGAGGGTCTGTAAGTTATTTTACATGCATTAAATCAATGCATGTGCCATCATCTAAGCCTGAAGGTCTTTTTCATTTTATTTCAAGTTGCAAGCATAACCAATAACCAGTCTTTTTTAATCTCTCTCTCTCTCCCCAGGTTAGCTCCATATAGAGGCTGGTTTCCTGTAATCTGCAGCCTCTGTTGCTCAAACTTCGTCTACTTTTATTGTTTCCATAGTCTGAAGGCCACCTGGCTGCAAGGTCAGAGGTCAACGCCAGGGCGAGACCTCATCATAGGCGTTGCTGCAGGTTTGCTTATTTGAAAATGTTCTGTATGTGCTTCTCATTAATTTGCAGGAAAGCTCAATTTCCCTTTACATTACAAGAAGTCTGACTCTGGAACCATTAAGCCACAATTGCCCCATGATATTTGATCATAATTACAGTAAAAAAACAGTAATGTTATGACATATTATCATTTAAAATGAATAAATGTTTGATTAACTTTTGTTTGAATAAATTTTATTTAATATTTAATACAAACAACAGCATTAATTTCAAATAGAAACGATAACATGTATAACATGTCACTTTTAATCAATTGAATGCATCCTGAAAAATAAAAATAAAAGCAGTGTTATTTTATAATGGTTTGCACACAACATTGAGAATAATCAGAAATGGAACACCAAATCATCATATTTAATGATTTCTGAAAGATCATGTGACGCTGACGACTGGCGCAATGATGCTGAAAATTCTGCTTTGACATTACAGGAATAAATTATATATTAAAGTAGAAAACAGTTATTTGAAATTGCAATCATATTTCACAAAATTACTGTTTTTATTGTAGTTATGATCATCAAATAAATGCTGCCTTGGTGAGCATAAGAGACTTCTTTTCTAAAACATAAAAACAATCTTGATTTATTCCAAACTTTAGGCCAGTAGTGTATATATTTAAATTATTTTTGGCAATGGTATTAAATTATATAAAATGTTTATTTATTTATTTTTTCATGTTTTCTCATCTTCTACTATGTACTGTAGCTTGTGCTAGGACTAAAATCAAGCTAACTGTCTGCCTTTAGGTGTAGTGAATGTTCTTGTGACCACTCCACTCTGGGTAGTCAATACCAGACTGAAACTGCAGGGTGCGAAATTCAGAAATGAGGACATTCAGCCCACACACTACAGAGGAATTATGGGTAAAATATATCAGACATGATACTAAATGGATTCCCTTTAATTAACATGATGTGTGATATCATTAGTTGACCTGTCTCTCCTCAGATGCGTTTGTACAGATCATGCAGCAGGAAGGAGTGGGAGCATTATGGAACGGGACGTTTCCCTCCCTGCTGCTGGTGCTCAATCCAGCTGTGCAGTTCATGCTCTACGAGGGTCTGAAAAGGCATCTCCTGAGGGGCGTGAACAGACAGGTTAGACTACTGATACAAAAACATTCTGGGGACTTCTTTTATAATGTCCTAAAGTCAGTCTGAAACGTACAATATAAAGGACAGTACAGTAATGGATTATCTTCATTTAGAGGTTTTTCTCAGCAGACCCGATTATGGCAGCACACGAATAAACAGATGAGTCTGTTCACAAGATCTCTGTTGCCTGGGAAACAGTAACCGTAGAGTGTGTAAATGATGATTAGAAATGTTAGAGTGGATCTGCTCATTCAGATCAGCACTCATGAGCGAGCATCTGTCGAGAATGAGTGAACCACAACACAGACCATAGTGGTATAGCAATACGATTAAGCAAACAGGGTTAGTTCACCCAAAAATAAAAATTCTGTCAGTATTTACTCACCCTCATGTTGTTCCAACCCCATAAGACTTTCGTTCATCGTCGGAACACAAATTAAATTATTATTGACGAAATCTAAGGCTACGTTCACACTGCAGGGCTTAATGCTCAATTCCGATTTTTTGAAAAAATGCGATTTTTTTGCAAGGCCGTTCACATTTCCAATTAAATGCGACCTTTTGTGATCTCCTGTGTGAACGTGAAATGACCCAGAAGTGACCCGCATGCGCAGAAGATTAATCAACGGTCAACGACGTCACTTGTTTTTTGCGAAATAGTCCTTTTTTTCCATATGTTGCGAGCTTTTGTTTTATTATTATTATTGCCACAGCCCATATACAAACACAGACAACAATTATTTTATCGACGGGCAAAGTTTGCACATAAATGTAAGATTTTTCCGATCCTTACCGAGGCTCGTCATAAACCCCGTTTAATTGATAGTGCGCGTCCTCGGCGCTCCTTGCTTTGTCACCTGCGGCCGCGGTGCGACACTGGTGGCTGGTGTTGCCAGATTGGGTGTTTTTTCGCTACATTTTAAAGCATGTTTACATGTGTTTTAGCCAGGTTTTCGCCTGGAAGGCTCTATAGAAATCAATCTGGCACCCTATGTACAAAGTTATACTGAGAGAGAGCGCACGTTCACAGACACCAGAATGAACGTGTTCACAGTAATGTTCATCAGGCAGTAATACAGTATATGAACGCGTTCAGGCACAACACTGGGGAAGAGACACGTCTGCAGCGGCCCATAACAGTCAGTGCAGAAACGCGTTGGAGTTAGCGTGTATTGGCTAGCTACAGGTGCGTGCAATGACGTGCGGGTCGGATATATGTGACCTGGCCGTTCAGATTGAAGTCGCATTTCAAAAGATCGGATACATATCGGATTTGGACCACATACCCAAGTGGCCTGGGTCGCATTTGAAAAGATCGGATCTGTGTCGTTCAGACTGTCATGAAAAAATCAGATACAGGTCGCATAGGGGCAAAAAAATCGGAATTAGGTCGTTTCAGCCTGCAGTGTGAACGTAGCCTAAGAGCTGGATCACTCCTCCATAGGCTTCTATAGGATTGAAACTTGCCGGCCCAGAAAAGTTATTAAAGACATCGTTAAAATAGTCCAAGTGATTACAGTGGCTCAAACTTAAGTTTATTAAGTGTTGAGAATACTTTCTGTGCGCAAAAAACAAACAAAAATAACGACTTTATTCAACTATTCAATTTTTCTGCTGTGTGGGCCTCGGAGTGAGTTCACGATGCAGGAGACAGCCTATGGAGTGATCTGGCTCTCAGATTTCATTAAACATATCTTAATTTGTATTCCGAAGATGAACAAAAGTCTAACGGGGTTGGAACCACATGAGGGTGAGTAATTACCGACAGAATTTTCATTTTTGGGTGAACTAACACTTTAAATGTGCTGTTTCCTCTGTGTTGATGGGTAAATGGGTTTAAATTGAGATTGAAATGATTGATTTTCATTTTAATTCATATGTTTCACTATGATTCTGTCTGATTGTTAATAGCTGTCCTCGGTGGAGGTGTTTCTTATTGGAGCCATTGCTAAAGCCATAGCAACCACCATAACCTACCCACTACAGACAGTTCAGTCTGTTCTACGGGTAAGACCAGAATACATTTGGATTATATTTACCCAAGCAGGTCTCATTCATTCAAAGGTTTGGGGTCACTAAGAAAGACAAGTTTTAAAATTAATTCATACTTTTTCAAAAGAAAATGTCTTTTTTGATATCCAAAATTGTGGTTTTTATTTTGTTTGTGTACTGATAATATGGTCTATTTAAACTGTCCTGTTCCTCTGTGTTCAGTTCGGACAGCATGGCAGGCCTGCAGATCGGTCCAAACTCCTGAATAGCCTGAGATCTGTCATGTATCTGCTCATCAATAGAGTCAGGTGCAATAACACACACACGTATTCCACTCTGCAGCTCATTTTTAGTAGCTTACTCACACTGAACGCCTCCTGTAAAACTGACATGTTTGTTGATTGATTTACTGCAGGAAGTGGGGCATGCTGGGATTGTTCAAAGGCCTGGAGGCGAAGCTGCTTCAGACGGTCCTCACTGCCGCACTGATGTTCTTGCTGTACGAGAAGATTGCCAACACCACCTTCAGGGTCATGGGGGTCAAACGCACAGTGACGTCCCACTGATGTCTTAGGAACTTCACACGCTGACATGAGTCCTTGTGTGTTGAGCAGTGGTCAAATGATGTGTGTTTTATAAATGGATGAAATATACAGTACTATATTAATGCAACGTTGCCTTAAAGCCCTGGTCTCTATTTGATATAGTATTTTGAACTAACCTTGTTTACGAATACCAGTCCAGATACAAAGTGTCAAATGAATGTAATGCTGATGACGGATCTGTTTTGTGAGAGAGATCATTGCTGTCAACAATGGACCCTGATCTCAGATCAACCCTCCTGCATTGATGTATCATATATACAATATATACTTGATATACAACCAGGGCTGCGTTTCGTATCGTAAGCCTAAATTAATCATAGAACAATTACCACCAATGATCTCTATGATCAATATAGGCTCACGATACTCATGAGAAACGCTGCCCAGGCTGGTTTTTCTGGTTATGTTTAAGTGGTACTTGATTTTACTTGACAACTTCAAGCCACTGAGACTGAAACAGACCTTTAACCTAAAAAGTCTACAGCCTAAACTTTAAAATATCGTATTTTTATCTTTCTTGAAAAGAGACTGAAGAGTCAGAATCACCACATCTGAACTCTGAATGTTGCACTTGTACACAGAAACTGCAAGACACTTGAGGATTACATGCATGCTTCACAGACTCATGGGAATCCATACTGAGATTAGTATGCATTTAGACAGTAAAAGTATTTCAAAAGTCTCTCAGTGCTGATGTCCACACTACTGAAATGGAAGTGGACTCATCAGCATACAGTTACAGATGTTTATGAATTTAAAATGTGGATGTTTTTTTTTCCTTGAATGTCAGAATGAATATTAACATTGATTGATTAATATATTAATAATCCCAAACCTAGTCAGATGATTCAAACTATAAATACTTAGATATTGTATAAATTGATAACTCTTTTAATTTTATAATTGATGTCACACAAAATTTGTGTAATATATATATATATATATATATATATATATATATATATATATATTACAATAAAATAATTGATCAATGATAATGTGGTACAAAATGGAGTCGTGTGCATTCATTTCAAGTATTGATGGGGACAGACAAATAGATAATTGCATAAATTGGCCAGCAGGTGGCAGTATATCGCTTTTCTTGCGCTGTTCGTCAACTCAAAATTCCCAGAGTAGAGAATTTTCCAAGGCTCAATGATTTTAGTGACTCATTAATGTATTTTTTTTTTTTAATAATTGAATTATCATCATTGTTGATTTGTTTGTTTGGAAACTAACAGACAAAAGCAGAATCCTCCATTATTGACCACAAAAAAAAAAACTTTTTTATGTTATTGGAGATTTTTGTACACTTTAAAGTATATAGTATTTAACATATAAGATTTTTTATTTTATTTTGTAAATGACGTACAAACTAACTTTCATTTTACCATTTGGTAAATCTCAACGCTGAGCTCCCACCCTAAACCGGTGAGCATTCCGATTGGCTCTCAGATTGCACCGAGAACAGTGAGCAGTGATGTGATTGGTTTAGAAGGTCATCGTTCAACACAGTCGATCTCTTTGTTGTCCCTGTCACGGAAGTCATTCAAATGAGCCTATTGGTTATTTGCAATGCCAGTCTTCTCAGTACTCGCCAACTATTGGATGGATCACAAAAAATGGGCGGGGTTCCGGTTGAAGTTTGCTGGATATCGGAAACGATTAGTGAAGTCCATACCACTGGAATACCAATAGATGATGAGATGAATCAACCATTGTAAAGTAAGACAACTTTTAAATGTATGCCTTGGTTTGACGCGCTACCGCTGTGCAGATGCAGGTTTTTATTCCAATATTTTCAGGTTGTTTAATATTGCATCATGAGCTTGCTGGAAGTTGCATTGTGTAGTTGGGAACAAGCACATGGTCTTGAGTTTGTTTGGCAGGAGACTGTGCCATATGTTTGCTGGGTGAGACAGCATATTTTTGGGGTTTGTCCTGGGTATGACTGAAGATTAAAAGGGATACAGGTCACCTTGACCACAGTGGGCATAGGAGGGTGCTTGTGGTCCTGATGCTGTGAAGTTATGTAACGTGCATCATGACATGGTGTCTTTATTTTATTATTGAATGCATCTGTCGTTAGGTGAGTTTGCATATAATGTCAGCTCTTAGAACATGTTATTTAAAGCTTTTGAAGTGTGTTCTTTTGCCAAAAGTACCATGGTTATGCTGCCATATGTTTTGTTTTTGGACAGGATACCATGGTAAATAATACAAACAATACCAAATAGTTTATTTTGACATTTATGGTATTATCATACCACGTGCAATATCTTAGTGTATGTGAATGTGGTATCCAAATTCCATGCGAGTATTTCTTACTTTTTTTAATTAAAAATTTTAATTAAAAAAAATATATAAAAAGAATATATATATATATATATATAAACATAAATATGTGTGTGATAAATATATATCTAAATTAAAGTATTAATTAAGTATTAATTAAGTATAATTAAGTATTAATAAAATAAATTAAAAGTAAAATAAATGGGTTTTAAGTGTTTTGAGGTGTAATGCATGATGCGAAATATTTATTGATCTGTCTTTGTCACCTCAGCATTTTAAGTGCGGGTTGGAAACATTATATTTACATTATATGAGATATGAGACATTATATGAGATATGAGATATATCATAGTGACTAAATAAAGTTGGACAAAATGAACTCCAACTTCTGCGTTTTACACACTTATAGACATTTTAAGGCTAACCAGCTTAAAATGATAAAAACAACAGTCCTCACTTATTTCTGTAATATGTTTCTTGTGCCTGCCTCTTTTTAGTCACTAATACTTGTGCTTTTTTCTTGCAGCTCAGGTTTCAAGGAATGTTGAAGTTCAACTTTATCAGCAGCAGAAATGTGCAGCTTGTACTTTTGATAAAGCACATTAATTATTCTGCTAAAATATGTGTTATTTGGGCTGTAAGATTGTCTAATTTATCCTTTTAATTTTGGCACGGCTCTTCTATGTGGATAGACTTCTAGTTATGCTCTATCGCCTTAATTCTAGTGTCTGGATGTGGGTCTGTGTTAAGAATCTTTGTGCCTACTGAGAGATGACGAGTCAAAATGATTTTCTGTGGCATGCTGTTGATAAAGCTTTTATTGAAATTAGAACATGCCTCTATGCAACAAAACCTAATGTGTTACAAAAAAAAAAGGCTATACTACAGTCTATACTGATATTGTGTAAATAGGGCTCAATGAGAGAGGGTGAGGGCCAGTGTCTGTTTACATCAAGAATGATAACTAAAAAAAAAAATAAAGTTATCATTATAGTTGTTATAATAGTTGCTATTCTTTAAAATGTAGATTGATTTTTAGTACTATATCTTTATCATTATTGTTTGTGTTATCATCATCCTTGGTGTGAACGGCTTAACGAGTTTGAGGCCTGTTGATACTAGTGTTGTTATTGTTAACTAAAACTACTAAAAGAATATTTTCTGTAATTGAAATGAAGCTGAAATAAAATATAGTTATAAGGTTAAACTTAAACTTGAAAACTAGAAATTTTGCCTCGGCAAAAAGCTGAAATAAGTTGAAGTTCTAAAATGACTAAAACTGATATAAAAATATAAAACAAAACTTAATAAAAATGACTTAAACTAATATCAAAGTGAACATGAACATTATTATTAATAATATTATATAAATAATAGTAAAATAACACTGTTGGTGCTGAAAATCTTGAATTTATTGAACTTGTACAAAATAAGCATTTTATGCTAACTTGCGAGCTTTTTGCTTTCTGTTACGTATTGCACATTATCTTTGTGACAAATCAGCAGAATTTGCAACAGCTGCTTGTTATCAGATGTTATCTAGCTTGCTAACACGGATGAGGGTTTTGTGGGAAATGATTGTTAGCTGATTTCCAGCTTTTTGTTATGTAGTTTAAAGAAAAATCTTGTGAAGAAAAATATGAATATTTCTAAAATATTTATTAAAATGAAATATATTAAAATAAATCATTCTTTTGTGGTGGGGTCAGTGAAAATGTTGACATGGTGAGTAAAAAATAAACTACTGGCAAATCCTTATTGTTGAATCCTGATGATGTTTTTTTTACCTAATACCCCTAATGTAACCAGATCTCAGATATGTTTTTGGTAACACTTTAGTTTTGGGCCCAATTTCACTATTAACTAGTTGCTTGTTTGCATGCATATCACTAGGATATTGGTTATTTATTAGTATAAAGCAAGCACATATCAATGCCTTATTCTGCTTGGCCATATTCTACATCCCTTAACTTAACAACAACCTTACTATCTATTAGGCAGTAATTAGGAGTTTATTGAGGCAAAAGTCAGTTAATTCTGAGAATTGGAGTCTAAACAAAAGTGTGACCATGTTTTTATTAACTAATCTGTTGATCTTCTTTTTCTATTTTTCTTTCTTGTAGTTGGTGGTGTGTCACACCTGATATGGAATTACTCAGAGTCTGGACTCTTTTGAACAGGGAATAATTCAGGTAATTGAATCATCTACACATAAACATCTCTGGGTATTTTCCACCTCACAGCTCCTTTTATTTATTTTACTGCTGTTTTGCATATGCCATTCATCCCCAAACCCTGATATGCTCTTTAATTTGGCGTAGTAGGTTAATATAGTTCAAACGGCATGTGAATTGGTCCTCTCTTCCGCTTTACACTGTTGCGTTGCATGAAATAAACATGAATGAACATCAGAAGGTATGTTGAAAGATACTGTACAACTTAGCGTAATTCGTATCATGTCTCATGTTATCGCTCAATACGCTGATTTTACACAGCTGCCATTTTGAAATCGAAAGCGAGGCTCTGGTGGTAAGAATCCCGGAAGTACAGATAGACAATGATGTCTTGGACTGTATCAACCTGAAGCTGCTGCCGCGATTTAAACTATTAGATGTTAATATCCAATATAGGATATGTATATAGTTCGTTCCTGCTTCTTTTTTATGTTCTGAATTTATATATAAAAATGTATTTATAAATTTCACTGTATATAGTCTAAACTATGAAAGAAATGTATGTACATTTTTAGAATAACAAATTTCTACATTAAACACAACAATACGCCATCGCTTTCGCGACTCTCCTATGATTAAAGGTGACGCTTCCGGTTTTCTTCCCACTGGAGCCATTTCAAAATAGAGGCTGCGTGCAATCAACGTATTAGCATTTCAACTGTGGCGAGATGTCAATAAAATAGCTTGTAAACAATGTGTCGCATAACATTACATTTACCTCAGGAAAGCATTCAGTGACCATAAACGTGTTAGTTAGCTTGAAAAGTTAACAATATTCTACAATATTTCATATGTTTGAATAAATCTATCATGAAAACAAGCTTTTATGACAGCCACCCTTTAAATGTTT